CCGGAGAGCTCCCAATGTTGAACTAGTAAACTCTGTTATTGCCTATACCAAGTATGCTAGATGCTAGAGTCAGTAAAGTGAAATGGGCAGTTCCTGACTTCAAGTTGTTTGTAATCTAGAGGAGGAAACTTTATTAAGAGACACTTATAATATAAAAAAATGGTGGTGCTATATATAGGTGAATGTAGAATTTCACCGATACTGACCAATGAATGTGGAGGTCAAAAATTTCTTCCTCTTTATTTTAATCCTGTTTTGCTAGTTAATTCTCGAAATCCTTCTCTGTCCCTCCAGAATTGTATTAGAGCTTGAGCCTGTGATTACTTCCTAATCTCTCTGGCTTGGAATAGCTCCTGGATCTGGTTTTGCTGTCATTATCATAAATGGTGCTAGCTAGAGACTTAGTGCAGGATTTTACAGTGTTTCCTCATTATGTTCCCATAAAAATCCAACTGTGAGAATCCCATTAGTTTCATTGTATCACATTGAAATTAATAGATCTCAAACTTTTGAAATTATTTCCACGTGCACTTTTCCCACCTCACCAAGTTTTATATATACATGTACATTAAGTATTATCTTTTGCTGAAAAAAATATGTTTACCCCAGAAGAAACTAATAGGAAGGGACAGGGAAAGAAGTGAGAAGATGACCAACCATAGGACCTTTTATGTGTTCAGTGAGCATTATTTACTTCGTAAACGAGGAGAGACACAGTGATAGGAGAACAGATGGGTTTGTATCGGGAATCCTCATAGTATGGGTATGTAGGCATTTATAACAGAGCCTAGCACATCTTGATTAATGCCTATTAACTCTTACTCATATTTTCACCAGCACCAGTATTATACCACCATGACTGCTACAAAATAGGTACTGTTCTGCTGGTGGCGGCCACTGTCCTCATAATCCTTGGTCCTTCATGTTCTCAGGTTCTGTCTTCAGCTTGCTTTGTCACTGGAGTTGTATAATCCCAGCCTCATGACACTAAGACACTTCATTGGCCCAAAGTCCATTTTGTCCTATGGATTGAAGCTCTGTGTTTATTTTAGGTTGCAACTTCTGTCTTCAGAGGAACTTTTGGGTTAAGCTGTCAAGTTAAGACTCTTTTTTATTTTGGTGAAACTGGGAAATCTATCATATCTAGAGAATTGCTACCATAATTTCTTTTTTATTTATTAAGCACTTAAAAAAATAAGAACAAGTCCAGCTTTTTGTGTAGTCTGCTTATAGTGTGGATTGCAGTGATTTATTTTTTGTAACTTAACATATACACACATTCAATATCTTACTTGTATTTTCTTGGCTGTTAACCTAATAGACATGTACAAACACTTCCTGTTGATAGACAACATGTTGAACCTTAAATCTTCCCAACATCTGTAAAATTTGACAAAGTATGGGCAATACATTTCAGGAATCATTTATATGACGAGAAATGTTGATGTTTCTATCCCTGTGATATTTCTGTGCTGTAAAGAATCATCTAAACTGGATGCTAATAATTGATGGGTCATAAAGTTAAAGGAATTTTAGAAAAACATCATCAGAATAGATACCAGGGGCAAATAAATACAAGTATTAAGAAACTGACCTAGAAAGAACATGTCAGTTAAGTGGTGACAGGTGGATAAACATTTATCTTTCCTATGGAATATGGAAAGGAATTGTTACAGAATAGTGGTGGGGATGTTTTCGGCTTCAACCAAGAGAAGACCCAGTTTAAAATGGCATAAATAAGAACACTAGCAGCAAACCCTCAGTGTTGCCAGGGCTCTAGAACCTTGAGCTTTTTTTCCTCAGAATGGAAAGTTGGCAACAGGCTCATCAAGCATTACTTCATGCAGTAAGTTGTAGAGGCAGAAAGTGAACACTCTTCTTCCTTTATTTTTTATTTATGTGAAAAAAAGTTTTCTAAAAGTCTTCAGCAGGCTTTCCTCACATTTCATCTTCAAGGTAGTTGGAGTAATCTGTGAAGTTAGCCTGTTATTTTCTGCTATTTAGACTGAGCTCTTGTCAATAAGGCTCATGCTTTTGCATTATTTTGTAACCAGTAATGACAGTTGCATCCAAGTAGGCCCTGTGAAAGAAGATGGTTCTTATTATTGCAGCCATTTTTTTGGAATAGATTGTCACTTATGAAGTGGAATGATAGAGGCGAGTAGAAAAACTCTTCCAGCCTAAAATCATTCTCTTCTGCTGACAATAGCTTAAAATCTCCCTTTAGTTTAATGCTTTGATCCCTAGTCAAACAGAAAATGTTCCTTTTTTTTATTGGTTGTTCAAAACATTACAAAGCTCTTTACATATCATATTTCATACATTTGATTCAAGTGGGTTTTGAACTCCCAATTTTACCCCACATACAGATTGCAGAATCACGTCGGTTACACATCTACATTTTTACATAATGCCCTATTAGTAACTGTTAGTAGAGGATAGGAAAGGTAGCAGAATACAACAGAAAATGTTCCTTTTGCCTAGAACGGGCTATGGCTACTTTCAGAGGCCAGCTGAGCAAGAGTAATGGGCAGTATGTGGCTTGGAGCACTTTTTCCTGTTTAAAATACAATGTAGAAGTCAGGGTCATCATGGAGCATTCAACTAAGTTAACTATATTGGCCAAAAGGGAAAAGGGCTGAAATATTAACTTCAAGGTCACTCAACCTAGGAATGAGATCCTCAGAGTTATCAAACAACTGACAAATGTTGATCCGAGTCAATTAAGTGGGAAATTCAATGTTCATATTAATGTTCTGGGACCAAATTAAATCAAAGTAATTTACCTTACTAAGAAAAATTAACCCAGGAAGGTAAGTGGGATCATTAAGCATCTTTATCTGGGCAAAAGAACAGACAAGTCTTTTCATTGTTTCAATTAGAGGGGTAGCCTGCCCCTTTAACTCAGAAGATGAGAGGAGCTTTGGGGTTCATCTGCAGTGGGAATTATTTCATGATTACCCTGTGGTACAGCTTTTCAAGCTAAACATTTATGTTGGCTTTTTTTTATGTGTAATCTGGTGATCTTGGAAATGAAGAATGTGGTTTTAAAAGAGCAGTAATTTATATAGTGGATAGCTTAATTATTCTTTCTATCACTTACCTAAGTAATGCATCAAATATTTTCTTTCAATGTGAGGGAGAATTTATTTTCTAAAGAACCTCCCTGTGAGATGCATAAATTATCATTGTAAGATATAATTCACTACTAAGCACAGTGAACTATAAATAGGTGACCCTTTTAAGAGATCATTTGGCAGAGTGTGAACTCTAGGTTAACTACTATTTGAGAAGTAATTATATATTTCTTTTTATTCATGTTTACATATCCTAAAATATGTTTAAATAGTGAATAAAAATATGTTTTATGTATCTTAAAATATGTAAAATAATTACATATCCTAAATGTGTTTCTGGATTAGATTTGCTAATAATGGTGCACACCTGTGAGCCCATTCCCCTATTCTCCACCTTTATCAATTCCTGGATTTGTGCCACCAATACTTTTTTTTTTAAATGAGTAAAAACAATTCAGATGAAACACATCTGCCTCCCTGGTGACATTCCCCTTCCCTGATATCTTCCCCAGAGGTCACCTATATATACTTCAGTTGGATGTGCGCCATTCTCTATTATTGCTGCATTTGTATGTGTGCAAAAACAATTTGTAGGATTGCTTCAAATTTATATCACATGGCCAAAGTAATTAAAAAACAGAAATTCGGAGAGGTTTTTCGAGAAATGTAGAGCACCAATAATAGCCAAATAACCAATTTACTTAATCTGATTTAAAAATCTACAATAATTGTGAGAAGGTGGAACTCAGGCAAGGATGAACGCATAGGCCTGAGAAGTTCAGTGAAGAGCTGAAAAACAGACCTGTACTCAATGTGCTAGATTGTTGACAATACTAGCCCTGCAGAAAATGACAAGAGGGAAAGTCTCTGCACACATGGAGCAGGGATAATTGGGTATCTATAAGGTAAAACTGAAACTTGACCCCATATTTCTAATTATTCAGAAATGAATTCCAGGGGGTTTGTAGATGTAAATGCAAAAGGGAATTTATTAGCTTGCTCCCTTTGAAAAACTCATTTCACCATGAGTGATTCTTTGATTCTTATCGGAGTAAATTGAATTGAGGAGATTGAACTAAATGAACTATGGTAATGTAAAATTAAAACCTAATTAAATGTCTGATCTTGAAAGTTTTGAAATGAATATTTATTTAAAGTGGTTGCTATAAGTTTTTTGTAAAGCATTTTATCAAATTAGGGGTGCTTCCTTCTATTTCTAATTTGCTAAGAGTTTTTTTTTATCATTAATGGATATTAAAATTTATCAAACCTTTTCATGTATTTTGAGGTGATCTTGTGAATTTTTTTGCTTTATTCTGTTACTGCAGTGACATTTAGTGATTGTGTTTTGAATGTTAAATCAATCTTCTATTCCTGAAGTATATATAACTTGGTTATAATATATTATCTTTTTATATAGTTGTGGATTCAATATACTAATATTTGCTTAGGATTTCTAAATTTGTGTTTAGGGATGAGATAGGACTGTAATTTTCTGTTATATTCTTCTCAGGTTTTAGTGTTAAGATTATGCTATCCTCATAAAACTAGATTGGAACTATTTCCTTTTTGTAATCTCTGGAAGAATATTTCAAAGATGATGTTATTTCTCTCAAGTGTCTGATCAAATTATCAGTCAAATCATCTGGGACTTGGGGAAGTTTGAAATCATAAGTTAAATTTCTTAATAGGTTTTGCCCCATTCAGAATTTTCATTGTATGGCAGTTTTGACAATTTTTTTTTTCTAGGAATCTATTTTATCTAAATTTTCAGATGTATTGGCATAAAGTTTTTTTAAACAATCTTTTATTATCCTGCCCTTGAAAATGTCATTTATTTATTTAGTGCTAGGGATTGATCACAGGGATGCTTTACCACTGAGCTACATCCCTAGTTCTTTTTATTTTTTTATTTTGAGACAGGGTCTTGCTAAGTTGCTGGCTGGGCCTGAATTTGTGACCCTCCTGCCTCAGCCTCTAAAGTCACTGGGATTACAGGTATGTGCCACCATACCTGGACATAATTTATGTTTAATTAGTTAACAGTAAACTTTATAACACTTATCAAATTTTGAATTATCAAACCTTCTCTTACAGTTTACATTTCTTCATAATATAGTATACCATTTGAACATTTTTTCTCTTGAGGGATTATAAGTGGTAAACCCTTTTTGTTCTTTGTATATTTGAAAATATCTTTGTTTTGCCCTCATTCTTCTTCCTTTTTTTTAAATTTAATTTTATTTTATGTTTTTTTTTGTGTGTGTTGTTGTTGTTGGTGGTGCTTGGGATTTGTCTTAGGATCTTATTTATGCTGAGCACTGAGCTACACTCCAAGCCCTGTTACTCTTGTTGAATGATAATTTCGAATGGTATAAAATTCTTGACACAGTCATTTTTTCTTAGCTTTGAAGAAACAACTTCAGGCCTTGGTTCTAGAAAAGTCTGATCTTCATCAATTGTTGTTTCTTTGTAGATAACAATGCCTTTTGCCTTAGGTAAAGTTTAAAGCTTTCTCTTTACATTTGATGTCCTCCAATTTTAATTTGATGCATCTTGGTATAGATTCATCTTTATCCTGCTGAGTATTTGAAAAATACTTTTGTTCCAGAGATTTGTATATTTGCTAAATTATAGAGAAATCTGAGTTATTAGTGCTCCTTGATTAGTGCTTTTCCTCTATTCCCACCATTATCTTTTTCTGTTTCTCCTATAGTTGTATACTGGAGTTTTTTAAGTAAAATGAGTTCATACTCTGATTATGGACTTAATTGGTTTGTTTTTTCATATTATGATTTTTTTGTGTTTAAAATCTGTGTTTTCAAGATCATTTGAGCTCATGTTCATTACCCCTCTCCCATTTCTGCTCATTCAGTCGGTCATCTTTTCTACAAGTTTGTATGGCCTCTGCTTGCCCTTCATGTGCCCCATTGAGAACTGGTCGTTTAGGGACATGCTAGAGAGCCTGCCTCTTCATTATATGGTTACCAAGTCAATACAGGTTTGGCTCAGTACTTGACCAAGAGTATAGCGTGTTTCTTTTTCCGTAGTCCCACAGCATCCTACAAAGAAGAAGGTGATTCAGAGCATGAACTCACAGGTGCATCATCACAGGAAGTTGGAATGAGATCCTGAGGAAGAAGTTTCCTTAACATTTATGCTTTAGTCAGCTTTTTCATTGCTGTGAACAAAATACCCAACAAGAACAACTTAGAGGAGGGAATATTTGTTTAGGGCTCAAGGTATCAGTTGTCTCAGTCCATAGATGACCAACTCTGTTGCTCTGTGGGCCCAGGCTCATTTCTATTTTAGTCAGTCTTTGATCACTGTGACCAAAATACGCAACAAGAACAACTTAAAGGAGGAAAAGTTTATTTTGGCCCATGGTGAGCTGAGTCCATTGTTCTGGGCCCAATGTAAGGCAGGACATCACGGCAGAAGGGTCCAGTGGAAGAAAGCCAACCCATGGTGGGGTCGGAAAGCAGAGGGAAGAAAGAGGGAAGATGAACCTTTCCAGAGCACACCCCCAGTGACCTGTCTCCTCTAGCTATACCCCTCCTGCCTACCATTACCACAGTCAGTCCATTCCAGTTTGAATTAGGTTAGGCTACGACTCTCACAGTCCAAATCAGTTCACCTTGAATAGTACCTCATTAACACAGGCTCTTTTCATCCTGTAGAACTGGAACTTGTACCCATTATATCCCCAGCCCCTGTAAACCACCCTTCTACTTTCTGTCTATGAATTCGACTCCTCTTGATGCCTCATATAGTAAACTCAGACAGTGTTTGACTCGGTGCAACTGATTTGACTTAGCATAATGTCCTCAAAATTCATCTGTGTTGCAGTGGTGTCAGAATTTCTTTCCTATTTAAGGCTGAATAATTTTTCCATTGTTTACCACATTTTGTTATTGACTTATCTGTCACTGATACTCTGGAATGCTGCTATGAGCATGGATATGCAAATATCACCTTTTTATTTTTTAACACAAAAATTATACATAGTTATGGGTACTATGTGATGATTATACCTATATGCATGTGTAATGTTCAAATCGGGTAAGTATCTCTCCAAACATTTATTTTAGTGTGGTGAAATGCAGATATCTCTTTGAATCTATGCTTTTCATTCTTTTGGTATACTTAGAAGTAAAGCCTGTGATAATTCTATTTTTATACCATTTTACATTCTTGCCAAGAGCAAAGGATTTTACTTTCCCCCACATCCTCTTAAAAACTTATTTTCTGTTTCTTTTTTATAATAGCTATCCTAGTAGGTGTGAAATAAGATCTCCTTGTGGTTTAGATTTGTATTTCTCTAATGATTAGTGATGTTGGAAATGTTTTCATGTCCTTGTTAGCCATTTGTCTATCTTCGTTGGAGAAATGTCTATTCAAGGCCTTTGCCCATTGTTTTAATAGAGTTGTTTGTTTTTCATTGTTTTTATATATTTATTAAAGAAGTCATTTGCAGATTTTGCCATTGTATTGCTAGAAATAAATTACTGGCAATACTGAAAACGTGGTCATCTGATTAGAAACTCTTTAAGTAGCACATTTAGAACATTACTGGCTAAAATGTGATTACTGTTATTTGTATGTGATTTTTGAGGTCCATTTTTTATTATCCATTTTCTAAATAAATATCTGTTTATTCTGTAGAGCCTAGTATCATCACCCCACATCCTATATGCTAAGATTCCTGAGGTTCTGATGGAGTAGGAAAGAGTTGATTTTTAGCAGTTTTTTTTTTTAAATTATGTATATGTTTGTGCTGGAGATGTAGACCAGTAGTGGAGTACTTGCCTAGCATGCACAAAGCTATGGGTTCAATCCCCAGTACCACCATAAAATAAAAAAAAAAAATAGGCATATGTTTAATCACACATGTGACACTCCAACCAGATTCATCCTACACATCATGTTTGAGTGGGTGTGTGGTAGGAGAAAAGTAATCTGGGATTTAGAAGCATTAATTTGTGGAGCTCTTTAGCTAGCTACTACCTATTTTGTCCTGGTTCACTCACCTAAACACTCTTTCCACTGATAAAGTAAGTTCAGTCAGATACTCTGATTCATTCTCTCTCTCTCTCTCTCTCTCTCTCTCTCTCTCTCTCCGGGAACTGAACCCAGGAGCACTCTACCACTTAGTTATATCTCCAGCCCTTTTTTTGTTTTGAGATAGAATCTCACTAAGTTGCACAGGCTGGTCTTGAAATATCATTTTTCCTTCCTCAGCCTCCCAAATCACTGGGATTATGGCCGTGCACCACCATGCCTGGCTTTGGTCATATACTTTCAAAGGCCACTTTATATTCTATGATACTATATAAATGAGTAGGAGTTCCTTGTCTCCTCTACTGTCCAAGTCAGATTTTACTGTTCCTCATGACATTCATTTTGACTTAATCTTGCCAGTTTAAATTTTTTTTTTGTGTGTGTGTGTGTGTGTGTGTGTGTCTATGTGTGTTAGGGGGGGAAAATTCTATGGCTGTTCTTTGGACCTTATCCTTCAAGAAAAGTCCTACCAGATGGTAGAAATACCTCAAAACAGATTTTAGATTTAAGATCCAGAAGAGCAAAAAGGCAATGATAAATGTGGTATCTGGGAAGGAGGAAGAAATCTTTAACTTTTAAAAGCACTTTCTCCAGGGCTGCTATTTATTAAGGAGCCTCAAGAGCAGCACCTCCTCAGTGTGGCCCTCCCTCCTTGCAGGTCCCTCTGCAGATGTAGTAAATGGATCATGTTTTCACCCTGGGTATTTTGCAGTACTGCCATCCTGCAGTGGTGTGGCCATGTGTTCATAAAGACAGTATCTGTTGAAGCATCTCTTGGCCTCGCGTGTTTCTGCTTTCCATCTTACTGCCTCTATCCTTCCATATTACCGTCTCTGCCCCTCTTTGTGTCTTTTTCTATGTGACATTTTCTCTCACTGTCTCTGTCACTCATTTAATATGTGGTTCTGATTCAAGTTACATTGTCAGCAGAGCAAGGAAGAAATCCTCCCATGCTGCATGGAAATTACAAAGGAGTTATTTCCCTGCTGTTCATTCGAACCACAGTTGAAATGTGTGAAATTTGGTAGGATTTATCTCAAACACAAGAACATTATCAGTTATTCATTTGGAAAACATTCATGAGCATCTCCTCTTTTTCCAGATATCTCTGCCCTTGGATGGCTCATGCACATGGTGGATAGAGGGTCAGTGAGATGTGTAAGAGGTTTGATGAAGAAGGCAGCCTTCCTCGGGAGTCTGCACTGATTGGGGGAGAGTCAGACCGATGAAAGGGAAGCATGACAAAAGCCAGGTGGCATGATAATCCATGGTCTCTGGTTCATTTGAGGGTGTTTATAGGACATGAGCTTCAATAGGCTGGAAAATAGGGCAAGGGTGACTTGGGACTTGCAGCTTAGGTTTTGAATTTACTCTGGAAGGCAATTTGTAATACATTTGATTTCATAATCAGATTTCCATGTTATAACCCAGTGCTGATAATATGGAGGATGGATTGGAGCCTTGAGGCTAGAGGTTCATTTGGGGCCTAGCACAGAAGAAAAGATGTGAGACTGAATAGGGTAGTAATCGAGATCAGAAGATAAGATTGGGGCTCAAGAGCTTGTAGGAGACAGTACTGAAAGGCCTTGGAGTCCTTTGAGAGACAGAAGTACAGTGACCATCTCGTTTATCTTCTAAATGGAAATCTGCCTTTCAGAGTTGAAGGGCACTGTTAATTACTACTGCATTTATAGGTGCAAACTGGGTCTGGCCTGGACATACTGGGTGTGCCCTTACTGCAAGTAAGAAGTGGGAAGAAAGGTGATTCCCAAGAATGAAAAATAGGAGAAAAACCAGATTTGGAGAAGGGAATGATGAATCCAGTTTTGATCCACTGAGTACATGAGTATAAAAATTTATGCTTTGTTCTCGTCATCATCTTTGTTTCAAGTGGCTCTGTCTTTAGTTGAGCATGTGATTCCAGATGAGGCTGGGCC